AAGCCGGAAGTGGGGCTGAGGCTCAAGTGGTAGAGTGCTAGCCTTGAGCTGAAGAGCTGATGGACAGCGCCCAGGCCCAGAGTTCAGGCCTCACGACCGGAAAAAAAAAAAAAAAAAGAAAGAAAGAAAGGACTGAAGATCCCTGGACACTGGTGGCTGCCCATGCCTATAATCTTCACTGCTTGGGAGGCTGAGATCTAAGGATAGAAGTTTGAAGCCAGCCTGCTGAGACTCATCTCCAGCAAAAAGCTGGAAAAGGAGCTGTGGCTCACTTGGTAGAGCAATAGCCTTGACTGAAAAAGCTCAGGAATAGAGATCAGGTCCAGAGTTCAAGCCCCAGGACTGGCATTAAAAAGGGGCGTTGGGGGGGGGGGTGGACTGGGAAGGTGGCTCAGTGGTAGAGGGAATTTCTTTCTGTCTTTATCTCTCTGTCTCTGTATTTCTATCTGTCTCTGACAGTATTGGGATTTGAACTCTAGGGCATCACACTTGTTTAGCTGGCATTTGATCCATGCTGGATAGTTGGAGAGAGAATCTGCAGCACTTTTCTTTCCTGGGCTGGCTTTGAACCATGGTCCTCCAGATCTGTCTCTAGAGTAACTAGGATGATTCTTAGAGCTTAAGAGCCACTGGTGGCCCAGTTCTAATTCTGTTCATCATTACAGATGGAACCCTCTGGAAAGAGTTAGCTATAGGATTTGGTAACTTTGAGGAGGCTGAAGGTCTAGTCATGCACCTGACCTGACTCATTGCTCCACAGGACTGGAAGTGCTAGCTGAGGCTCTATGACAGAAGCTCATTTTTACTCCAAGTGGAAAAAATGTTTTAGAATGCCCTTTAATGATTTTCTTCTAAAATGAAAAAGAAAAAAGAAAAAAATCCAGAGAATTAAAGTTGTTGATAGTCTAAAATAGTCAAAGCAAAACCAAAACCCTACAGGACTCTCAGACTTTTGAGGCTGTTAGTGGGTTATTTTTCAGCAGACTATTTTTGAAAACATTTTTCCCCCTCTGCAGAAGCTTGAACAAAAAGTTGCATTGAAATAGAAGGTTTAAGCTGGGCACTGGGGCTCACATCTGTCATACTAGCTACTCAGGAGGCTGAGACCTGAAGATCACAGTTTGAAGCCAGCCCAGGCAGGAAACTCCATGAGACACTTATCTACAATTAATCGCAGAAAAAGCCAGAAGTGGCGCTGTGGCTCAAGTGGTAGAGCGCTCGCCTTGAGCTGAAGA